GATTAAGGATAACAAAAAGTCCTTTTTCAAATATATTGGGAGGATGAAGAAGGCGCCGGGTAATGTGGGACCCCTGCAGGATACGCTGGGCAATCTGGTGGTTGCGTCAGAGGAGAAAGCGGACCTCTTTAACCAATTCTTCACCTCCGTTTTCTTGTGCAGGGACCAGGACTTCCCTGCTGTGATAGAAGCCGGACTCGAGGGGATCGCCTTCAGACCTCAGGTTGGGGAGGACCGGGTTAGAGAGCTTCTGGAGGGGCTGGACGCGTTCAAGTCAGTGGGTCCGGATGCTCTCCACCCCAGGGTGTTGAGGGAGCTAGCTGGGATGACTAGCTAGTTCCAAGTCATCTCTGGGATGACTTATGTCTACAGATCAACTGAGCCATTGAATGGCAATTAGTAAAATCTAGGCATATAAGAGGGCAGGGCAGGCTACTCAACCGGTCATGCCACAAGTGGACTCTGCCTAGACTGTGGTCCCTTGAGCCAAATTACTGTGATCCAAGTAAGGAATCGCTTGTTCCAGGCTACCTGTACTAACAGATCTTAGCCCAAGTAAGTGCCAAATACATCATCTGTTGCAAGAAACAGCACAGGTACTGAGAGAGAGACAACAGCATTAAGTTGTGCAGGATGACACAACCCAACTACCTCAATTTGATGCCTGGCCCATGGTCCACAAAAAAATAAATAAATAAATAAATAAATAAAATAAAAATCAAGAACGAATTTTTGGGCTATTGACCAAAGCATATTGGCTTTAAGTAATGCCACGATTAGGCTCTGTTCAAAAACTCCCACTTCCTTCCCAGCTCCCAAACTGCAAAATCAAAAGCCATTAGCTGATGCAGAATCAGAACCTCCAGGTGAGTCAGAAACTCCACATGTGATGTGTATTTTTTTAAGGCAGCCACATCCATTTGGCCAGCAGTGAACATCAAAGTGACTTCTCTGTGCTGTGCCCAGCTGTACTGCAGGAAAGCAGCAGGGAAGCTTGCCAGAGAGCCTGCTTTACAGCTCCCTGATCCACTCCAGGGCAAGCTGGAGCCCTAGCTTAATTATGCTGGGAATTGCATAAGGACCTTAATTCCACTTTACCAGTGGAAGAGAAACATTACCATATGCCTCCTAGCCTACCCCCTACATGCCCTCTATGATGGAAATAAACTAGCAAGGTGGGAAGGGAATTACTGTCTTTACACTGGAGAAGAAAGTTTGGACAAAGGCTGATTTCTCAGCTGGACACCTCTGTCCAAGGTACAGCCCAATGATGGCCACTCTACTGCCTCTCAAAAGTCCCTATTCCCAAGAGCAGAGTAGAACAGTAAAATGGTTTTTATTCCTCCAGTCTGCAATTCTGCACAACCAATTCCTAATGTCAAGAGCTGGTTTCTGAAACCATCCTTTAGAGAGATCAACGTGAGAGGCTGGGGTCATGCACACAGCTGCCATGCCTGCCTGCGGCTGCTAGCACCAATCCTCCTGACCCAGTTTCCATCACAGCAGAGAGAGCTGGAGCAGAAATAAGGCGAAGGAACCATCTGATGAAGAACATCCATTTGAAATCCTTTCATCTATTTGTTTATTTTTGCCAAATCTGTTTTTCCTAGCAAGGAAGTAAAACTGATGACGAGCAGCAAAGGCAGTTTCAGTTGCTGAATTGCATTTTTCACTTCTGCAAGCACGGAAGGAAGCCTCCCGGTTCCCAAACAGCACAGCATGGACATGACACAGTAGCCTCCATTACAGAGGTGCCTGAAAAGCAGCAGAAATCCAATATGGTGGAAAGCAGACAGCTTTACAAAAGGACACAGATTTAAAATATAAAGCTTTGCCCAAAAGGCATGCCATAAGTCTTCCAAGCCAGTGCTCACGCTTACCTGACTGGACTCCTAACCAATATGCATTTCACACACTGCACCCCAAAGGCTTTACAAGCAAGATGCACCATCTCCCTGGTATTCGGTTGTTGTGAACAGTTAAAATCCCAGTAGGGATATCAAAATTGGAGAGAAAAAGAGTTCCTATTGTCCGAGCACCTTCCCATACTCTCCACCAACTGG